CTCCCCCCCCCCCCCCCCCCCCTAAATTTTTTACTTTTTGTTTCAGCTCGATTTTTTCATTTCTTTTTCCAGTAATTTGCCATGTCTTTTATTATTTTTTGGGTCTAGCCTAAACCAATTTTTTCTAAACTAATTTTTATATAAGAAAAAAATTATGATTATTCTACATTAGGAAAAAAAACTTTTTGCTTCTATTTCACCAATAATTTGTTCAAAAAATGCTTGAAGAAAAATAATTATTTTCTTGTGAAATTGGTTAATTTCTCTAATTTATAAATTAAAATTCCAGTTCACTTTATTTCAACAATAGCATATTTTTTAACAAACTATTTTTCTCAATGTTGTCAAATAAAAATATAGTTAATTCTTAATATTTAACAATTTGAATGGATATTATGAGACATGTCTTAAGTCATTCAACAAAAATGTGAGATTTAACATACTTCTATCACAATTATAAAAAAATAAAAAAATAAAACATACTTCTAACTCAAAGCTAGGAAAAAAACTTGAAAAAGAAAATAAAAAACTTAGCGAAAATAGAAATAGAAAAAGGAGAGGGGAGGGATGGAGGAAGAATAGGAAACTGTTAATAAGATTGGAGCAAAAAATAGTATATTTGTTCTACTAATTGATTCCCATAATCATGGATAGAGAAGATTTCTTTCATCTCATCCTTTAGAATAAATTTGACAGATAAGAATGAAAATAGTGGTCTCTCCACTGCTTTAAGAAGTGAAGAGGATCTGAATTATATGAAATTTATAGTCTAGGAAATGGTATTCTTTTTCTGTCTAGAAAATATTGAACATACCTCCATAAGTGTAACTGATAGAATTTTTGCTAAAAGTTTATGTGATTTAGTAAAAAGAATATACATTCTATTATTGCAAGATCGGTCCATATGGTTTGATGAATAGTGAATCAATAATTGAATATTTCAATAAAAAATAGGAACCTTCTTGAAAATGCTTATGCAATTTATAGTTTATCCTTTTTGATAATTATTATTTTTTCTCTCTTTGATGTGGGTATTATACGATTAGCCCTTTGATATTTTGGATTAATCAAAGCTTCACATTTCTCTTTAATGATACTATCGCTATTCTATTCCACATAGATTTCGTTGATTTTGCTAGTTTCATATTATTATCTATCTTGGTTCTTATTATGTTTGTATATGACTTATTCATCTATAGTATTTATTTTGAATTAATTTGAAACTAGTATTTATGTACATGTACAGTGTAGCATAATTGTTGGGAATTACGGGGGGCTACGCTAAACCCCTCAAACAACAAGAAACACGGTATAGAGAAAAGTACATCAAGATTTATGAGGTTCGGCAAACTTGATTATATTCTCGGGATCAGCATAATTAATTTCTTATTAATCAAAGAAATTACAATGTAAGAGGAGATCTCAAACTTGAGATCTCACAATAAATGTAAAAAAAGGTCAACATTGTAGCTATAGTGAAGATCCCTCTTCTTAAATCCTCTCTTTTAATTCTCCCCTCAAAAATCACGTGAGAGAGCTGGAGAAAAAGAGCTTAATTTATTGAGCAGAAGAAGAGCGCCGCCGCCATGAGAAAACACGAGAAAAGGAGAAGAGAAGCTACGAAGATCTCGGCTCTGGTTCCCTTTTATAAGGGAACTTAATGACAGGCTGGCGACAAGCTGTCACCAGCCATGCGAGCACTTGATCTCGTCTGCGAGCGCTCGATCTCACCTGTGATCGCTCGAGCTCGCCTACGAGAGTTCAAGCTCGCTAGCGCCTCAAACCTTGCCTAAAGTACGCTGCCTCGAGCTCGCCTATAGCCATGCTCGAGCTCGCCTGCAGACCACCTTGACCTCACCTGCAGATCTCCTCGAGCTCACCTGCAGATCTCGCCCTCGCCTGCGCCATCGAGCTCGCCCATAGATCTCGTCGTTGACCTTGCTTGAACTTCGATCTCGCCTAGAGCTCCTCGCGTGAAGCTCATCGAGATTGCCTGAAGGTCGCCTCGCCTCACCTGCGGAGGTTTGAATCCACACCTAAATCCAACAATCTCCCACTTGGAGACCAAACCGAGGCTATCTCAATAAGCACCTTCTCTTGTGTAGCTCCTCCATCATCACCTACGCATGAAGGCCAACTAAAGTTATGCACAACTCTAGTTTCTGAATGGTCACCGTCTTTGTTAATATATCTGCTAGATTCTTACTTTCCTGGATCTTCTCCAGTTTTAACACGTCATCTTCCAATAAGGATCTGATGAAGTGGTATCGAAACCCAATGTGCTTCGTTCTAGAATAAAATGCTGAATTCTTAGCCAAGTGAATCGCACTCTGACTATCACTATACAAAACATTCTTCTCTTGTTTGAATCTCAGCTCTGTTAACAAACCCTGAAGCCATATCATCTCTTTGCTGGCTTCAGCCACTGCTACATACTCAGCTTCTGTAGTGGATAGAGTGACAATCTTCTGTATCTATGACATCCAACTAACAGATATAGTTCTGACAATGAATTCATAGCCGGTGATGCTTCTTCTATGATCGACTTTACCTCTAAAGTCTGCATCTACATACCCTTGCACTTTTACCTCTCCCTTACCAAAGTGTACACACTTCTGTGTGGTCCCTTGTAGATACCTCAGAATCTACTTGACTGCTTCCCAATGAGCTTTTCCTGGATCCGACATGAACTGATTGACCACTCCCACTGCATGGAAAATGTCTGGTCTTGTACAGACCATTGTGTACATCAAGCTTCTAATGGCTGAGGTGTAAGGAACCTTAACCATACTCTCTTTCTCTTCTCCTGACTTAGGAGACTGGTCCTTTGATAGACAAAAATGATTATCCAAGGGTGTGCTGACTGGCTTGGTATCATCCATATTGAATCTCTGCAAAACAAGGTTGATGTACTCTATTTGAGATAAATGCAATAGACCTCTCTTATTATCTCTTGTGATTTGCATTCCAATGATCTTCTTTGCTGGACCCAAGTCTTTCATGTCAAACTTCTTTGACAATTGCTGCTTCAAACTTCTGATATCCTCCATATCTGCACCTGCAACTAACATATCATTAACATATAATAGTAAGATGATATAGCTGGGCTGATGTCTTTTAAAGTAGCAACAATAGTCGGCATTGCACTTCTGGAAACCATCCTTGTGCATGAAGCCATCAAACTTTCTGTACCACTGCCTTGGGGCTTATTTCAGGCCATACAAGCTCTTCTTGAGTCTGCATACCAGGTTCTTCTTATTTTCTTCTGAGAAACCTTCTGGCTGGTGCATGCATATCTCCTCTTCTAGATCTCCGTGAAGAAATATCATCTTCACGTCCAACTACTCAAGATGAAGATATTTAATTGCTACAATACTCATCACCGTCCTGATAGTATTTAGCTTCACCACGGGAGTAAAAATATGTGTAGTCAATTCCTTCATTCTGCTAGAATCCTTTGATAACTAGTCGAGCTTTATATTTTCTGGAGCCATCCTGCTCCTCTTTCATCCGGTACACCCATTTGTTGTGTAGTGCCTTCTTACCCGTGGGCAACTCAGTTAGTTCACATGTCTGGTTTGAGATGAGAGACTCCATCTCTTCTTTCATGGCAAGATCCCATTTGATCGCATCTCCATCCTAATAAGTTTCATCATAGCTTTCAGGTTCCCCTCTATCTGTCAGCAACAGATAGTTCATATATCTCTTGTTGGGCACAGGAGGCCGAGAAGATCTTCTCAATATCAGAGTTGGTGTGTCTATCTCATGCGCACCATTCTGTCTAACAGGCTCTTCTGGCTGAGGACTTGTTGCATTGGGTTCTTCTAAGAGGTTACCTAGGACATTATCTGCATCTACAAATATTGATTTTCTCTCCTTTGAGTCATTAACATCTGTCTTGCTCATGTCCTTGTACATCATATTCTTATTGAATATCACATAT